TTATTTTGCATGTGCATTGATTTAAGTATATTGTGCATGTGTATAAAAGGTGTGATAATATATTATTAAATAATAAAGATACTAAAATTGTATATATAGTCATAAATTAATTAATTGTGATAAATTGATATAAAAAATGGGTGGATGTTCATTTTTTTACTTAAATTTTATTTTATATTGTAATAAGGTTTGTTTATAATAATAATAAATATGTATAATAATCCTTTCTTTAAAAAGGCATGACATCGATGCTTGCATTTCTCGAAATTTTCTCGAAGTTTTATTGTTGACACTTTTCCGCGATGGGTTTTGTCGCTGCATTAACTTTGTGAATAGCTGTCATTGTATTGATTTCACAGAGAATCGTTTTGGCAATTGTGTATCAAAAAGTTAAAAATATTATAGTGTAACTGTAGTATAATAGTATTATATTAATTTTTGCTCGTGTTGAAAAAAATAAATAGTGAAAAAAAAGATAAATAAAAAAATAAATAAAAAAGATAAATAAATAAATAGTAATAAATTTAAAATCATTAATATTAAAAGTAATGTATTAATAAATATGATAAATATTGATAAATTGATAATATAATTATGTAAAATAAAGTTTTATAAATATACACATTTTATTACTTTCAAAACGCTTATGTTTTTAAATTATAATATTACAATTTAAGATTAATGTAGTTAATGTATTTGAAAATAAGTGGGAATAGCCAAAAGAAGGCGGACCTATCAAAAGTTGTCTTTTTGTGACCAGTCTCTTAGGCTCGATTGCACCAATATTATTTTGAATTTTAAGTGAGATTTAATATATAATATGTAATATGTATATTATGTATATCACGTATATTATGTATTAAGTCTCGCTTAAAGCCCAAATAATATTGGTCTTAAACGGGATCTTAGAGTGCGTTCCGTTGCACGCATGGACTGCATAAGATGATATGAGCGCATTATATGAGCGCATTGGTTTATTCCTTTTTTCCTGCGCATAGAAAAACGAAACGGACTTCTGCGCACTGGATTAATGTAAATAAACATGGCGAACGAAATGCCGGCTGATAATATTGTTCCGAGATGGCGTAGAACGGTAAATGGGATTTGGGAAAGAGATATCTAGTGTATTTATGTTCAATGACGATACTGGATACGATTACAAACTATATTTCCAGATTGGAACCCGCGACCGAGCGGAAATCACGAGGAAATAATATTTTGTTAATATAATAATCGAGATATGATATTATATTGTAAAGTTATGATTGTTGGTGTAATTGGTTGTGAAATTATGATTCAAAATTATTTAATATGACAAATAAAAAGAAATGATTTCTTGGATTATGGTAAAATATTAAATGTAACATGAATAAATAGTTACATTGAAATAATGATAATAAAGGAAATGATAATAATAACGAAAGTATTAATGAAAATTATACCGTGAATTATAATGATGAATAAAATAATGCCATAATATCTGAAATACAGGTTCACATATATGCGAATATTTGATCGATGCAAAAGATGAGGGTGGTATAAACTTAATTATATGTGAAATGGAAATGCAAATCAGAAAATATTA